TGAAACCTACACCTTATTGGGCAAACAGTCACTAGATAAAACTACCCACCAACATAAGCATATAATATTGTATACAGTGCATTGGTTGACCTAGGTAAGGTGAAAAAAATGAGGTGTCACACTGTCTCAGGTGCGTGAAATTTGTACAGGCTGAAACATAAAGGGTCTGCTCCTCAATATTTCAAAACAAACATTTAATCAATGGCACAATATTTTGATAGTAAGTTAAAAATAGATAACTCTTTGTGGTCCATGGACTGTGGAGATTCCTTAGCTTTTCAGCCTGATATAATGTTCTTTTGTCTTCTGTGCTTTTCATGGACTTTCTGTGGGCTAAAATCTAGAATAAAGAGCCAGGATTCACTTGTGGTCCTCTGCATTAAAAATATTAAAACTCATATGTCATAGCATACATGCAAGTAAACCAAAACTTTAAGCACATAGAAGAAACTCTCGATTGTGAATCGTCGTCAGATAATCAATCATTAATCACTGGATAAAATCATCAACTCTAACTACACCATTTCCCATTGTTATCTGTTAGCTCTACTCTGTGCTTTCTATTTTTCACTCAAAGTTTAAATTGAAAGACTTCAACCATTCCATAATGTTACTAATACATTTTCTTTATGTCATTCTTATTTTTTACATCACTAATTTTAAAGATAATCATTAAAAAAAAAAGCATTCCAACTCATTATCTTTTTATTTTTATTTTCCTGATACAATATAATATTGCAAAGAAGAGTGTTTGTAACATTTTTTATCCTCCAAAACATTTTTTCTAACACATTCTCTCTTGTTGGTGGAAGTGTAGCGAAAGAACCAAAATTCTGAGTAAGATTCATTAAATAAATAAATAGTAAACCCATATGACTCTAATTTACAACTAATAATAAAAAGTGTAAAATAGGATCTTATTATCATTTTTCATCTTATCAATGTATTAAAGGACATTTTGTTCAAAACACGCACTCTTTGACATGTAAAGAAGAAGAAGATTACAGGAAAAAACAAAGTTATATATTCTAATTAATTATCCAAAGATGTATATGCACACATATACATACACATGCACTGTGTATATGCATAAACAATGTCTTCCTTACATTCTAACAATACCAAAACCAATACAAAAATTTGTTGACTACTAATTAACTTAATTATTTGTTATTATGGAATCAAAAGATTTACTCATTAAATAATAATATCATTAGTTCATACAAAACCTTCAGTTTTTTTCTTTAGTACTTGTGATTCTTTAAAGCTCAACGAATGAGTGCACTAATTAGTATTTGATGTTAAAAGAATGTAGAGATGAACTTAAACCATCAAGGTGCAAATTATGAAGTTGTTCAGAAAGGTAAGGGATGAAAACACAAAAAAAGAGGTGATAGGAATGTAGCAGGTCTCTTGTCTCACAAAAGGGTTGGCTTTAAACTTAGCAGAAATGCAAAATAATCCGCATGCAACGTGAAAATGTATCCTGGACCATAAAAGGGGTGATTATATCATGGTTCCCAACGGAAGGTGCAACAGCTTTATTCAAGAAAAGGTCCCCTCAACAAAACTGTCCAGGGAAAAGAAGTCATGAAGAAGCATATCAGAAAATCTTTCTAGTTGGGAAGATTCTGCATATTTTGGATTGATTCAATGAGATGAGTAAGCACCTGAGGTTACATTGGTATCAGAATTTTGGAGGGTAGTTGATTCTTGCCCACTCTTCTAAGAGCCAAAACATGCAACCACTGTCACAATGTCCTAACAGCTACAACATAAGTTCTTGCATTACCCGACATCATCATGAAAAGTGCAAACGCAGACATAACAGAATCATAAACCTCCCTTTCAAGTTGCCAAAATTTGAACACTAAAATCCAAAGGAACTTCCTTCATTTTGTTCACAAAGGAATAAGACAGTAGCTGATAATGTCGTTGTGTATTAAAATGTGTGACTCTCCTTTGAAAATTTTTGAAGGGTTAAGGTTATTAGAAATGGTGAGGTACCATTATCCTTTTCATTATTGTGATGTGGTGTTGTAAGAGTTTAACTTAAATATAGTGTAAAGCCTTTACATACATCTCTAATAAAAAAACTAACCATTATTAGGTTATCTTATGCATTAATATGATGTGGGATAAGGTAAATTACTATTGAATTTCTCAATAGATGAATTAACACAGTTACACAGATAAATGAGATTAATACAGGCTTTGATTTTAATATCAAAATTCTATTCAAGTCATGTTTTACTGAATTTCTCACTTTTTTTACATGCTGAGCTAATTACTATTTTAAAATAATAACATGAAAGTGTTGAAACTCCATTTCCGTTTAAGGTCCATTTTCATTGGCCCATATTTTTAGTTTGTTTCTTCTCACACCCCATATTCATCTAAAATCTAAAATGAGAATATTGATTCCGAAAAATTCATTCTAAAATTTTCCAGTTGACCTTGCTGAAAGAAATGTTTCGGAATCAGTTTTTTGAAAATATATTTCCAAAAGCTAACTCCAGAACGTTTTTGAGAAATTTCCCATGTGAATCCGAAAAAATTCCAAAAAATTGATTCCATAACTCATTTTCATATTATATTTTCTAAACATATATTATAGATTCAACAATTGGTAATACAACTTTGGAAATCAAAATTTGAAAATGAATTCTAGATTATTGAATGGAGAATACATTTCCAAAAAAATATAATTTGAAAATGAGTTTCAGAAAATTCAAAATATATTTTTAGAAAGTACAATTTATAAATGAATTCCAGACTAATCTGAAACTCATTTCTGAATTATACTATTAGAAATGCATTGGTGATCCAATAATTCAAAATATCACAAATGTAAAATCAAATACAATTTTTTCATGAGATTTTTACATACCCAACATGTTATACTATTTAAAATATAAATTACGAACAAATTTCTAATTTTAAAGTGAAACTAAGGCTTGAATGAAGGGATATGAGATGCAACAACCGATCTCAAAGATATTTTTAATATTTTATATATATTAATAAGATGTAAAAGAAATTATTAGAGTGAAGGAAGAAACAACCTATTTTTAATATTTATGATGGTGAAAGAACTATGAAAGTAGTGTCGAATCTTGACTATTGGTTTTGGGAGGTTAAATAAAATATTATGAATAAATGATAAATAAATATAAAAGAAAGAAAGAAGATGAGAGGGTGAAATAATAAAATTATAGATATATACTTAAATATATTAAATGATCATTAAGTTTGAGGGGGACAAAATCACAATTTATATGAGAGTTACAAAGCTGAAGAGAGACTAAGAAGATAAAATTGTAAATATACAAGTAAATATATTAAATTTTTATTAAGTTTGGGATGTCAAAATCATAAATTATATGAGAGTTACAAAACTTTTGGGGGTCATGACCCCTCAACTCTCAAGAAGATTCACCCCTTATGGAAAGTGTTATTCACACTCCTTGGTTTTACTAACATACCTTCTATTTGTATTCTTCTTTTTAAATATCTTTTTTTTTTTTTTGGAAAAAAGCTTTTGAAATTTTTAATATTATACTTTAGGTAAGTTTTGTCTTTAATAAAAAGTTTTAATAATTAAAATAAGTAGAAGAGATAAAAGTGGCATTAACATATACCACTGCCTAATATTACCAAATACATTTAACACATCAAGTAAATGTTACAAATTTCATAAACTAGACAAATTGTTAAAGTTAATTTCTATTTTGAAAACACAATGGTCCAGTTAAATGGTTACCCCACAAATTAGGTTAAAATTGTGTGCATTCTAAATGAGTTTCATTTTAAAGTACACATATCACACACTAGATAAATTTTCTGTAAATCACAATCAATATTTTTAATAAAATAATAATTTTATAATATAATAAATTTGTTAGAATAATGGTTTTTATTAAAAAAATAAAAATAATAAAAATAATTGTCATAATTACTATAAATTATAATAAAAATTATAAATATAAAATATATAAAAAAAGTAAAAAATGATAATTATTAAAATAAAATAAAATATATTATATTTAAAAAAATTAAAAAATTTATTTATTATTTTTTACCAAAATTGTTTCGAACCAAAGTTTTTGTGGGATTTTTCGATTTTGTTCCAATTTAATTAAAATCTAGTTATTTATAAATAATGGAACAATTTTTAATCTAATTTTCGATTAAACTGATTAATCCAATCCAATTTTCAAAACTGTTACCACAATCCATATTTTCAAATTTCCCATATATATATATATATATATATATATATATATATATATATATATATATATATATATATATATATATATATATATATATAGTAAGGAATAACTTACATCTTACAAAAATTACATCGGACAAATTAATATGAGATCGCAACAAATAAACCAAAAATCGTGTAAAGGGTCCAATGTTGGTGGTGCGATTTGTTTCATGGTAGCGTGGTATGAAACTTTTATAGGATTTTGGTTCAATTTTTCTAATTCAAATTGTCTTATCATGGGGTCACCAGGCATTAATATACTATGCGGGTATGCAATAAAAATTAACGAAATATGCATATAAAAAAAAATACCACACCCTTAACATCTTCACGAAGTTATACGATAATAAAATCATAAATTTCCTAATTAGAAATAAATTCACAAGTTTTCTAATTCCAATTCAATATTCTATGTGAGAAAATTTGTAGGAAAATTAAAATTATTCATAAATCAAAAGGTTTTGTTGTTTTCTAAACTATGCCTTCACCTTGCTCTACTTCTCTAGTTCCTTTTGCTGGTTTTCTATACAGAATAATGTTGCATAAGCCATGTAAAATGCGTGTCACCATGTTTGGTTCACTCTATTAAATTTTAAGATACGCATATCAGAACAGTTCCTCTCCTATTACCTGTCAATAACGTAGTACATTTTCTTACAGGTGTAAGTAGTAATATGACAATGATACAAAAATATTACATTATGGGGTCAAAATATATATCTCACTAGGGTGATGTTGGGACTGGTTCAGCACCAGAAACATGGGAAGAGACATCTTCTTTCGATATTGATACATAGTTAAGAGGAGCAACTGGTCTAGTATTATCCCTTTTTCCATCTTTTGTTGTAGACCTGCTTCCATTATGATGAGCATTAAGAGATAGCCGGCGAATCGGAGCACCGTTTGGTCCTCCTCCGGTGAGACGAGGGCCAACTACCTTCTTGATGCCAAGTGGCCTTGCAGGGCTTGGTCTTGAGCCAAACACAGAGTCATGATCTGTAGTTTGCTGCTCAATGTACTTTTTCTGGTCCTACAAAATATGATTTGAACTTTTTTCAGTTCAAGTATTCAGCAAGAATGAACAGAAATAGATAGATAAGTCGACAGTTCACTTTTGCTAACTGATTGATTAGCAAATGCTCAAAATGGTTTGAGAATCAGTTTTTGTAATCACAACACAACAACAATGAAACTTACCCTCATCCTTCGTTTTTCCTCTTCTCGATCATGCCTGAGCATGGCATATTCATCCAACATAGCAAGGAGAGAAACACCATCATATGTGAATGACATGTCATGTACTTCTTCCCAAGCGCGAGTTTTAGCAATCAATGTATCAACCAAAGCTGTATTTTTCACCCCAAAAAGGAAAAAACACAATCAATTAATTGTTATGTGTTCATGCATTCCAGAAAACTGTGATAGTTACACTACTATCTGTCAGACAAATTAATTTGTCAATGCATTGTATCTACTTGATTGACATAATTTAATTTTGAATACTTGATTTTATTCGTCCAGTGCCACCTATTTAAAAAATTAAAATCTTTTATTGTCATTGAAATATTTTTCCAGTTCAATATGGTGCATTCTTTTGAGCTAATAATGTATGTTTGATAATGGATCGAATAAATTATAACCGTTTCTGGTGGTTGTTTATTTCCATTCAAGAACATACCTGGAATTTTGCTGACCAGTATCCGAGCTTTCTCTGCACGTTTGAGGTTTAAGTGTGCACCTCTACTTGCACTATACCTATTTTCATCCTGTTTTACAATTAACAGTTCAAATGAGGAACATAATATAAGCATTGTACACAAGGAAACTCAACGATAGTATGTAACATAACATTAAAATTCCATTCTTGCTGACACATTAAAACCAAATTGACACTCAAGTAACATTCATCATTTTACTGCCCTAAAATCCTAAATATTTCAGCCCAAGTTCTCACAACAATGATATCAGTTTAAACCTTAAAGATTTCAGATCTTATTAGCATTATCCTAAATGTCCAGGTTCAAGTGGTATTATTTTTTTATTTCAACTTTCAACCAAAGACGTAGACTTTCAATCATAGAGCACATAGACTCAGATATAGAATGAAGATGGTTGATTATAAGTACTCGATTATAGTCTTCAAGCCAACTCTCTTCTTCACATGCTGACATCCATTTCTCCACCTTGTCCAATATTTCTTTTCGGCTTAAAGCTTCTTCTTTTGCTGAAGCTATCTGTTTGTCCATGTCAGCCAGTAATTCAGAAGGTTCAATGTTTCCAGAGTCAATCGATGATAAAATATTCCCTCGAGCAGCTTCAGGGTTTATTTCTACATGAGCCCGGGCATATATCTCTTCAAGCTCGTCTTGCTTCTTGAAAGCAATTTCTTTCATCTTGCTGGCTTTCAGCTGATCAAGCCTTTCAACTTCCACTTCAGCCTTCATAACATAAAGCAAGAAAAAATCAGTTAACATCATCTATGGAACAAGAGTCTGTAAGCATCAGAAAGTCATTTTTACCTGCTCAATCAAATCCAGAGCAAGGGCCCCGGGAACACTGACTTCATCTCCAGAAGCTGAGATATTACAAGTAACATAGTCAAATAGTCTCCTTTCCTCTATAGGGGTATCCATTAGATTCCACAGATCAATCAACTGAGAAGCTAATTCTTGAAGCTGCAAAGGATGCACAAGTTACAGTCTAATGTATGTACATAGAAGATTAAAATTGAAGCAAAACATGTTTCCAGTTGATATCGTCAATGCTCAGGAGCCAAAGTTTGAGTTATGGTAATAACATGCAAACATGAATAAGAACACTAGTTTGCCATAAGTAGTAGTAGTAGTAATCATTGAAGTAGATTCGTTGTAGCGATAGTATGAGTAAAAAAATACATGAATGAAGAAAATAAAACAACAAAACTAACATTAACCGCATTACCTTGTGTAGCCGCTGCTTTTTATCTTCTTTCAGTGTAGAGACTGTCTTAGCCAACATAGCTAGTGTGCCATTGCTTATGCTTTTCGAATGAACACCAATAGCATCATTTAAGCTTGGATGAACTTCAGTCACAATACTGAAGAAGTCCATGCCAAGGACAGCACAAAGATCATGCACAGTACTCACATATTCTAGAACCCTGTGCAATCTCTCACTCTGCAACTCAATACAAAGTAACAAATCCCACAACGTATCAATTAGCAAATAAATAAAAAGTTTCAGCTTTTACTGACCGACACATTATTAGATGATATAGAAAAGTTACCTTTTCCCGTTGAAGTTCTTGGAGTTGGGATTGATATTCATCCAACTTCTTCAAGGACAGGTCAGACTCATTAACTGTAAATGATCCTGATCCAGTCTGATCAGGGTTCAGGTCCCCAGTTATGTCTCTACATATTTGTTCGATCTGTAACTGTACATCTGAAAACTCCTTTACTCTTTCCTCTTTTTGTTGCCATAACTGTTCAAGTATTGGTGCTATGGCTGCAAGTTGTTCCTTAATAGTATCTGAAGTCTTGTCAGGCTGCAAAGAAACCAACATAACCAACAGGAAACAAGATTAACAGTTCAGTATTAAAATACATCTCGAAGAGCAGTTATTGTTTATTTCAAATACATAATTAGTTACTAACCATTCCTGTGGAAATGTTCTCACCAAGAACCGATGAAAGACTAGACAACTCAAGCTTTGCATCAGACAAGGATTGAAGTAGCTGTGCCCTTGACTTAGTGGCCAGCTCGACCTTTCTTTTGTACACATCCAAGCACTCTTGTTCTATCTGAAGGAGCATCTTGTCTCGCTCCTCATCACTCACACCAACCTCATCCCATATTTCCTGCAATTAATCAAGATAACCTCACTGCCTTGTAGACCACTGTGATAAATGTATGAATGGAGAAGAAGAAAAAGAGCATGAATACAAAAGAATCATTCTAAGGAGGATTACTAGAAGCATGACAAAAGACAATATTCTTGCTTACAAAAATATTTATTTGTTTTCTTCCTTTACTAGTTCAAAGAATCATATTTCGTAGAATTTAATTTCTTAAATTTCTTTTAAATTGGGTTTTATTTGTATTTGTGATTGTAATTTGGGTTGAAATTGGGCTCTAATTGCAAGCCAATTGAAGCACATATGATTCAGCCTAGAGGAAAAGAGAAGAATCAAGGAGAGCATGGAAAGCATGGTGCATTTTGGAGACAAGGAAAGTGTGAGCAAGGCATGGATCACGCTCGTTACTCTCGCCCAAGCATAGAAGAATCTATCTAGATCCTTAATTCAAAATTTGAATTTCAAATTTCCCTCTTGTATTTCATTTCACTTTCAGACCAAAGCTGGCTATAAATAGCCATCTCCTCTCTTTATAAAAGACTTTCAAATATATTGAATCTAAAAGAGATTTCTACAGCATTGTCTCTCGTGAGGGTGATTCTCATTCTTTAAGTCTTTATCTCGATATATTTAAGTGGTGATACTCCAATGCACTTATCTTGAAGATGATCTTCAAGTGGCATGGTCACCTTTTCCCTTTCATTTGATTACTTTGATATAAGGTTCTTGCTAGTTCTTATATTTTCTTTAATTCATCCCTCTTTCTTATTTCATTCAGTTCATCTTATTTATTATGTTGATGACATTAGTTTGTGCGAGTTGTAAGAATCTATGAATCATAGCTTCACATGAATTTATTCATGTTTTAAGGCAAAGATGAGGTTCCTTTTCCTATTCTAATATCTTGCTAATATTTTGCTTCTAATGTTTAGCTTCCTTTGCCTATGTCTTCTATCACCATCCACATCTGCAGTAACACGTATGAAAAGAATGATAAAGTTACCTGAAGCTTATGTAACAAGGAACTGCAGGTGCTTTCATCAAGAAGAGGATTTTGAGCATCAGTCCCCGACATTGAAGTTCACACACAACCAAGCCTGCACAAAGGGGAAAATAATCACCTGAAATTCCAAGCTCCTTCCCCCAACATAGTGAAACACAAATATATCTAGACATAAGAAACAAGCAGGTATCCATTGATACATCTAATTCCAGACAGAAAAACAGTAAATGGAAAACTCTCAATAATGAGTACAAAAAAGATTCTCACGAAAGAATGAAACACCAGAAATGTTCTAATGCTATGTCTAGATAAATTTCTCCATAAGCACTTACAAGAAAAGAAGATAAAAAGGAAAAATGAATTGAGATTCTCCTAAAAGATAGAAAAGCGTATGCTCTAAATATCAATAAAAGTTCTCTCATTTAACTTCTTCTAAAAAAACTAAGGTGTATAAGTTGATTTTAGCTTATTGGAGATACCCATGCATTTACCTTCATATTTTTTTATCTTAAGTGTTTATAGAAAAGTTTATCTAAATTGGGCCTAAATTGTTTGCTTTTAAAAAATTAATTGTTGAATTAAATGCATTACATCTTCTAAGAGAATCTCTGAACATCAAATCTTGACTCCACTCAGCACAAAAGCATAATCTTATACCCAGTTACACAACTAAACAACACAAAGCTAATATGATCACAACAATTGAACAAAATGAGTTAATCTTTAACCACATACTGCAAATAATCCACCTCTAATATATGAAGTTTAAAAGTAAAAGAGCCAGAAACTAACAAGAAACAACTCTCTTCTAAAGCAGCAAAATTTCATCCATTTCTGAAGCATTCTCAAGGAATTGAAAACAAAATACAGAAAACAATTTCTTCACATGAAGCCTGAATACGAGCTAGAAGGATCACGGTTCACAATCATCCTTGGCACTAGTGGCAACTGCAATGACAACCCCAGAAGAAAGAAAACCATCACAGTCAATGACAACCCCAACAATAAAGAAAAAAAAATTTACCCTTGCATTCAGAAGCCTATGCAGAATCCAGAAGCAGTAAGCTAACACCTTGCATTGACAAAGTAAGAGAAGGAAACAAGTGGATCTTCTGGGTGTGGAAGATCAGGACAAGATGAACCGAACAAGAAGCACACTGTTGGAAATTAAATAAGCAGAAGAGAGATAAAAAAATGCTTACCCAGTTGTCTTTTCAGGTTTAAGAGGGTATTGGATTTGCGTGGCTTCAGATCCAAGCATTACTCAAAAACACAGACAACACTGTGAGCGAGAGAGTGAAAGACAAAGTGATTGTATGAGTTCAGTGAGAAGACAGAAAAAGAATCTGTGTATATGCAATATTTGTGTGCAAGGACATAGACCAAAGCTTTCACAGTGTCACTGTTATTTGATTGTCCCTATCTCAATTACCTCGTTGCCCCCGTTTGAGCGGGTATTTACCGATGTAAAATTCTGTGTGTATTTCTTGTCCTGAATTGAAGGGACTTTATTTCTACTATATTACCAACTTTCATTTTAAATTTCAAATTTATGAATATAGAAGAAATAGAGTTTGGGATTAATCTCCCTTGTGTATAAATCACACATAGGGTAGTCTATTTATAGTAGAGAGATACAGCTAAAAGAGTAAGCTGAAAGTAACGAGAATAAGCAGAAGATATTGTTTGATATTATGGTTAATATCTAACAATATCTTAACAATATTAAATAATATCTAAACAATATCTAACACTCCCCTCAAGCTGGAGCATACAAATCGTATGTGCCAAGCTTGTTACAAATATAATCAATTCTAGGACCCAGTAAAGATTTAGTAAAAATATCTGCTAACTGATCACTTGAGTTAACAAACTCGATCTTGATGTCTCAGACATAATCTTTTCTCGAATGAAATGACAGTCAATCTCAATGTGTTTGGTCCTCTCATGAAAGACAGGATTAGAACTAATATGAAGAGCGTGCTGATTGTCACACACAAGTGACATTTGAGTGACATCTCCAAATTGTAACTCTCTAAGCAATTGCTTGAGCCAAACAAGTTCACAAGCAGCTGAGGCCATAGCTCTATATTCTGCTTCTGCACTAGATCTTGCCACAACACTTTGTTTCTTACTTTTCCATGAGACCAAGTTACCGCCAATGGAGACACAATATCCAGATGTAGATCTTCTATCAGAAGGAGATCCTGCCAATCAGCATCTGAGTAGCAAACAACTCTTGTATGGTTATTAAAATCATATAACAATCTTTTTCCAGGAGATCTTTTAATATACTTTAAGATACGAATGACTGCATTTCAATGATCTTCACATGGGGAATTAAGAAATTGGCTTACCACACTGACTGCAAAGGAAATGTCAGGACGAGTAACTGTAAGATAATTCAATTTTCCAACCAATCTTCTATACTGTTCAGGATCAGGTAAAAGCTCCCCCTGATTTGGTAAAAGTTTAGTATTGGGATCCATGGGCGTATCAACAGACTTTGAATTCATCAACCCAGTTTCCTCTAAAATATCCATGGCATACTTCCTCTGAGATATAACAATACCATCATTGGACTGTGCCACCTCAATACCCAAGAAATATCTAAGTTTGCCAAGATCTTTGGTCTGAAAATGGTGACAGAGATGTTGTTTCAACTGAGAGATGTCATGGTTGTCACTACCTGTAAGAACGATGTCATCAACATATACTATCAAGTAAACACATCCAGCACTTGAGTGTCGATAAAAGATAGAGTGATCTGCTTCACACCGAGTCATACCAAATTGTTGAACAACCTTGCTAAACTTTCCAAACCAGGCCCTAGGAGACTGTTTTAGGCCATATAGGGATTTGCGAAGACGACATACCATCCCAGAAGACTCCCCCTGAGCAACAAACCCAAGAGGTTGCTCCATATAGATTTCTTCTTGCAAATCACCATTGAGGAAAGCATTTTTAACATCTAGTTGATAAAGAGGTCATTGTTGAAGAGCGGCCATGGCGATAAATAAACGAACAAAAGTCATCTTTGCCACAGGGGAAAAGGTATCTCCATAATCCAAACCAAAAATTTGAGTATAACCTTTGGCCACAAGACGTGCTTTGAGGCGATCAATAGTACCATCAGGTCCAACTTTGATAGCAAACACCCACCTGCAACCAACAACAGATTTCCCAGACGGTAACGAGACCAATTTCCAAGTTCCACTATTATGAAGAGCACTTAGTTCATCTAACATGGCCTGACGCCAACCAGGATGGGCTAAAGCTTCACGGACAGTTTTTGGAATGGTCACAGAAGAAAGAGAGGAAAGACATGTATAAAAAGGTAATGACAGTCGATGATAACTCAAACCAATATAATGAGGAGAGGGATTACGTGTAGAACGGATACCTTTTCGGAGGGCAATGGGAAGGTCAGACTCAGGTGTCACATCCGGAGGAGACAGAGTAGTTGGCACTTGAGTAGAGTCACATGGTGGTGGTTGTGATTGGTTTCGGCAACTATAAACCTGAAGAGGTAGTGAAGAAGAAGTTGACTGCGGAGTAGAATCTAATGGTGAAGAAGACACAATTAGAGGGTCACAAACAACAGGAACATTAAATGTACTAGGAGTGTTGACAATATTGGATGGAGACAGAGGTGAAGATTGACTTTTAAAATAAAAAGAGAACTCATCAAAGGTGACATCTGCAGACACAAAATAACGGTTAAGAGAAGGAGAAAAACATTTGTATCCTTTTTGTGATCTTGTAAACCCTAAGAAAACACATTTATGTGATCTAGGAGAAAGCTTGTCAAGACTAGAACTAAAATTATGAACAAAACATGTAGACCCGAAAACTTTTAGAGGTAAGGGATGAAGTGGTTCATGAGGGAATAAAATGGAATGAGGTATTTTATTATCTAGAAGCCGAAGATGGCATGCGATTAACAAGATAACATGCAGGAAGAAGAGCATCACCCCAAAAATGCTGAGGAACCTCTCCATGAATTAAAGAGTGCGAGTTGTTTCAATAAGATGTCTATTTTTACGTTCAGCTACACCATTTTGTTGAGGTGTATAAGCACAAGAAGTTTGATGCAAAATACCATGAGAAGCCATGAATTGTTTAAAAGAATGAGAAAGATATTCACGACCATTATCACTGCGCAAAACTCTAATAGAAACACCGAACCGAGTTTGAATTTCATTGAAAAAAGTTTGAAAGATATGAAATAATTCAGAACGATTTTTCATCAAAAATAACCAAGTACATCCGGAATAATCATCAATGAAAGTACAAAGTATTGAAAACCTAAAGAAGACTTAGAACTAATAGATGTAACTGAACGAAGAACATCGCTCAGTTAACGCATTGCCTTAGCATTTCCCACATCTCCTAAGCACTTTTGCAAACGAAATCCTGTAAAACTCGTCAAGGGTTAAAGCAGATGAAATTATATTTCTAGCCCTAACGTCAAATTGTGCTTTTCTGTTTTCCTCTGTTGTCCATCTAGAAAAAGGTTTGGGAACATCAACACCGTTCTCAGTAACTTTAGGAACATATGGACCATTTAAAATAGCGTCCCAAACGCCTCTATCAATAAACTCTAAAAATATTTGCATTCTTACTTTCCAGAAAGGATAATTTTGACCCGCAAAAAGTGGGAGTCTGTTGATAGACGCACCTTCGGCAAAAGTTTGATTTTGTCCGGCCATTTTCGAAAAGTTTGAATGACTATCAAAGCAAGCTCTGATACCAATTGTTAAAATTGCGCAGCGGAATGTTCGCTTGGACGGACAAAAACCAAGAGGGGGGGTGAATTGGTTTCTTAACAAAAATTAGGTTTTCAAAATTTTTCCCAAATTTTACCGAAAATTTGTGTAAACGTGAATAAGATAGAGATAGAGTCTTACATAGGAGATTTATACTGGTTCAGATCAAAAGACCCTACGTCCAGTTGCTAATCACTCAAACAGAGAATTAACGCTGTCACTATAATCAAAGTTGTTACAAACAAATAACAATTGAAAATACAAAGTAAAGAAAACACCTCTCTTGAAACCCACAAGAGATGA